ATTATAATCGGGGACCAAATCCCTACCAAATAAAACACCTTACTCCACCAAATTTGTGCCAAACGATTCTAAATCCAACCCATAAAATTCTCTTTACTGGTTCAAATTTAATGAAATTTGAAATATACTGAGTTTATACAATGCCTACTTGGTTACTGAAAATTCTGATTTCTAGTCTTATACACACATACAGGTTTCTAAAATGGCCTAAACTGCTTTGAGAAAAGGATGGTACTGCCGTGCCGCTTTTTTGCTCGACTTGGCGAGGGCACTGCCGTGCCCCTCAGATAATACAGATCATTATTTCCAAAAGGAAAAATTTCCTAAAATATAATTAAGGAACAGTAGTAGCTTAATAATTTCAATATTATTTGATTACCAGTAATGGAGTTGGTCTGCCATCTAAAAATGTATAGTCAGGTCCGTCTGTAAGTATCCCTTCGGCATTTTTGTTGATAGGAAGTCCGCGCGAAACGCGCCATTCTTTAGTATTTACTACTGTGGTGCAGTAAATTGGTCTAGAGAAATCTGGAATTTTACGAAGAATTGTAAAGTATTTAACAAATATACCATTCTTTCTCTGTTACACTTTAAATAAATATTACTTTATTATAAGCCTCTGAATGTTAGAAGATACATAACCAAACAGTTATTTCGGAAAATTATTAAGATTTAAGATCACACTTACGCTTCATATGAATATTACATAAACCTCTAAATGTTAAACTTATATAACACATGTTCAAACAGTTAATTCAGAGAAATAGAACTTAACTTATGACAAAATTATGATTGTTTACTACCGAAGTACCGAATACCATGACCCATGTACCACCAAATAACCAAATATCAATTCCAATTAGGGATGTTCGATGATCATCGATGTTAAAAATTAAAAGTTCGATGTTTTAATATCGTTGATAAAAATTTAAACATCGATGTTTTAACTTCGATGTCAAACATCGAAACATCGATGTCAATGAACCCATAATCAATTTTTTTTATAGGATAAGGGTAACAAACGAGCACACAGTCCACCTGATGGTTAGTGGTTGCTGCGGCCCATAGACATCTACATCTATCCTCTATTACAAATCAAAATATAGATGCGTTGTCACCCGTGAGGACTAAGATGGAATGCCTCATTTCCAATAAAAAGGGCCTTTATAGGGCAATCATTGGGAACTTGCGAACAGTGCGAACCCGAGAAATCAATATCAACTAAATCTTGCATCCCCTCTGAAGATTAAAAATTTAATTCAGAATTCCTGAATGCATCGCTAACCTAAAAAAATATAATTATGGTGTGTCAAACTTAATTGTTAAGTGTCACTCGCATTGGTCACTGCTTTCGCTTTATTTTGTAGTATCGTTGTCGGTTGTCGCATAATAACTAATCTACGTAAATTGATATTCAAGTTAATTGTTACTTTTTCTCTTACTGTGTATACCCACATAATTTTGAAACATTATGTAAGTATCTACACATATACAAAAAAACATCGATAATGGTCTACATCGATATTTTGAGTAGGCTAAACATCGAATATCGATGTTGAGCTATCGATGCCAACATCAATGTCATCATCGATGTTTCTGCAACATCCCTAATTCATCCGATTCGGAATCCCGAACGCAGCAAGTCCATATAAAATCTATGACCCGCCACACACGAACGGTATTTTTCTGTTCGAAATTTTGCGGGCAATACAGAATTCCGTATGTGTGTGGCCCTTCGTTCGGAATTCCGAAACGAAATCCTGAAGCGGAATTCCGTGTGTATGTGACCGGCCTTATACGGAATTCCGTTTCGGGATTCCGTTTCGATATTCCGATTCGGGATTCCGAACGCAGCAAGTCCATATAAAATCTATGACCCGCCACACACGTACGTTATTTTTCCGTACAGAATTTCTCCGATTCAAGATTCTGTATGACCGCCTGTGCGTTCGGGATCCCGAACGGAAAAATGCCGCTCCGAACGCACGTCTTCCATAGATTTTGTACGAATCGCAACACCAATACGTAAATTCCGTACGGAATACGCTCAGTGTTCGTCGCACGACCGAAGCGAGTAGGTGTATTTATGTATGTTTTTACATTTAATCTTGTAGGTGCATAGCTTTTCGTAACCTTTAATCTTATTTTATTTAATAATTCGTCGTATTGACTATATTGCCAGCTTAGGGTGATAAGAGGATGCACCTAGTAAGAATTATACAGCAACAATGGAATCGCAATTAGAAAATCGTCGTCATTATTCGCTGGCAGAATGTCTAGACTCAATGGCTAACGTCTCTTAACTGACCCTTGTTATTCCGAACGGGAAAAAACGTGTGTGTGATGTATTCACGGAATCCCAATTCGGGATTCCGAAACGGAATCACGAAACGGAATTCCGTATATATGTGGCCGGCCTAATAATGAGCCAAAGACCAGGGTTGCCAGAAATGTTCTGAAGAAAACCGTGCGACCTTATAGAAAAACCGCAAACTAATATAAAATACCGCCCAATATATTTGAATTCAAATACTCTTTATTTATAGTTTTTTTTTGTAGCCTATTAGAAAATATTAACAAAAGTATATAACAATAAATAAAGTTCGATAACCTATTACGTTATTATAATTTTTTACACACATAATAACAAAATATTAAAGTTTTTATTAATTAAAAATGTAAAGATGTGAATAGTTCCTCTACGATTTCTTCTTATTCTTCTATAATATTTGGATCTTTTTTATCATCAATTGTAAAATTAAAATTTAGCATATCCGCAGGCTCAAATTCAGTACAGCACACTCCATCAACCTTCTAATATCTTCTTAATTTATTATTGACTGATTAAGGTAGATTCATGCGAGAACACCCGCTCAACTGTAGACATTTTACTCACTGGTAATCTGTATGCTGTCAGTGCTAGTGGTGCTAGATCTTTGAAAAGAAAATTCCGTTCAGAGTCGGTCAACTCTATGACCTATGACCAAAACATTGGACCCTGAGAAATAATTGATTCATCGAATATAGATTTATTAATATATATAAAAACAAATTCGCCTAATTTTCAAAAAATCGCCCCATAGAAATTCAGGCGCAACATATATTCTAAAATCTCCCGATTTGTGGGAAATTACCCAATCTGGCAACCCTGACAAATACAAACATTGTGCCCGCCACATACATGCTATATCCGTTACGGCGTCCCGTTTCGGAATTCCTAACACATATGGGATCCCCTATTGCCCGCAAAATTTCGAACGGAAATTTACCGTACGTGTGTGTCATAGATTTTATATGGATTTGCTGCATTTGGAATTCCGAATCGGTATTCCAAAACGGAATTCCGTATGTATATGGCAGGCCTTAATGACCCTACTTTTTTCTTTCTAGTGGACTATTGTATCAACTCTATTGTATTTTTGCTAGTGTCCTCTTAGGCCGACCCCATACATACCTAATTCTGTTTCGGGATTCCGATTCCTAGATGCATCCCCTTATCACCCTAAGCTTACAATATAATCAATATTATGTAAAAAGGTATTTCGATCCAGAGATATTTTTTTTATATGGATGTCTGTAAACTTTTTATAATAATAATAATAATAATATTCCACAACTATCAAACAACGCCATCTAGTCCCAAGCTAAGCAGAGCTTGTGTTATGGGTACTAGACAACTGATAAACATACTTATATATTTCTAAATACATAAATATTATAGATAAATTACACCCAGACACAGAACAAATGATCGTGCTCATCACACAAACATTTGTCCTGGGTGGGAATCGAACCCACGACCTCCGGCGTAGCAGTCAGGGTCACTAACCACTAGACAACAGTTATTAAATGAAATAGGATGAAAGGTTACGAAAAGCTATACACATATAAGATTAAATGTAAAAAACATATAAACACACCTACTCGCTTCGGTCATGCGACGAACACTGAACGTGTTCCGTACGGAATTTACGAATGTGTGTTGTGACTCATACATAATCTACAGAAGACTGGCGTTCTGAGCGGCTTTTTCCATTCGGGATTGCGAACGCACAGGCGGTCATACGGAATCTCGAATCGGAGAAAATTCTCAAAAGGTTAAGGGTATTTCTTAAATTTGATTGAATATAGAAACACGATAATGACAAGTGACAACCTTTATTATTAGTAAGTAACCCATGTTATACATGGTAGAGCCACGCTACAGCTATATTAGTTGAAGCACGAATGGGTCTGCTCGGCCAGGGTAGGACCACGCTCTCACAGAATACCAGCGTAAAATGGCAGCTTAAGGCTGCTGTGTTTCGTGTGGTAGGCGTAGAGAACCGTAGAACCTTTTTACTAGAAACGAGGCATTGATCTTGATTGAAATCTTGGTCCTCAGAGGTGACAACACATCTAATACTTAATAGAAGATAAATAAGGATGTCTATGAGCGACGGCGTCCACTTACCATCAGGTGGACTGTGTGCTCGTTTGTCTCGCTTATTCTATAAGAAAATGTAAGTAACGACATCTTTGGATACGTTCATAAATATTTATTTGTTGCGTTCAAATTATCAACTAAGTATGACAGGTTGTTTTTACCGCGGCTATTTAGGAACTTTATCACTAGTTCTTGAATCAGTCCGATTCAAGAGGTTTTTGGATCGATTCATCGGATCGATATAGTGTTCCAAATCGATCTGAAAAATCGATTATTTTACTCGAAAAAATCAATTTTTCGATTAATCGATTTCAGATTGACATGCCTAGTTGACAATTTGTAAAAGTGCTAGTGAAATCCAATTCATAGATTACTAAAATATTAAAGGAAGTGAAACTTTATTTTTATTCATTATTATAATACAGTGAAGTGATCTTCTGTGTTATTCTCTAATTTTTATAGCAATTAAATACAGCTGGTTTAGTGCACAAAGAAGGTAAGATGAGACAGTAATTCTTTAAATATCGTTGTGGTGTTTTGAAAAGGGATCGATCATATTGTTGCGCCATTCATTATTTCGTGTATTATCACTCTAGTACATTCTAGATCCTGAAGTTTTTAAACAACTATTTAGCATATTTCAACAAGAAATTCAAGGTTTTTCCCGTTTATTGAATCGAATTAAAGTGAAGACCGTTTCGCTGAAAGCAAACGCCGGATATAAATAGAACTTCTAAATCGATATTTGTTATCAAAACAAAAAAAAATTGCGTCACGTAGGTATATCAAACCAAATTGATAAACCTATTACTCGCACACCAGTTAACATCAGAAACCATTAATTTGCCTTTTTTATTGCATAACTCATATTTTTATATTTATTAACTTAAGTTATTGTTGACCCTTTTTCAGACCAGTGTTTGGACTCTCCGTAAGTGCAGTTAGATCTATTCAAAACGGCTACCGAAAAACTAAATACCTCCGATCAGGCCAACTACAATACAATGTGTATGTATATAATTTTTTTATTTTTTTTTCTTCAGCATAAATCCGCACGGACCATGTGGCAGAATTCAGGAGTATATCCAGGAG